CCGCCTCGCCGCACTCGCAAAGTCCCGCTCCAATCCCCATCCTCGCCTTGGACGAGCCCAAGTCGTTGAAATCGAGCCGAAGCCGTGCGAGGAGGGTGGCGTGAACCCTGTCGAGGGAGTGTAGGGCACGGACAAAGGGTGGTCCTGGCGGGCGAGCGTCGACAGCGCGAAGACCGGCGCCTGGCGATGAGGAGAGGGTCCAACGCCGAGTCCATTCCGCGAATAGCGACGCGCGGTGAGCCTGCTTGAGCGACGAGAGCGATTTCGGCAGCAGAGTGCCTCCTAGTACGAGCCCATCGGGGCCCGCAAGCGTTGAGGAGTCGAGACGACCGAGGCGAGCGACTTCGCGCTCGAGGCGAGCCGCCCGCTCCTCCTCGTCTTCCTCCCACCCGCTCTCGTCCGCTGACGACGAGCTGCTGCTGTCCTGGTTCGGCCTGAACAGCTTAGGACCGCGCCTGCGCCGGCTGCGCACGCCCGCAAGCCCGCCCTTTGACTTCCCCACCTCGTCATCGCCAACTCCCGCCGCCCTCTTTGCCTCTTCGTCCGCCAACTCGTTCCCCGGCACCTCAAGATGGCCGGCGAGCCACTGCAGGGTGAGTCGAGCGTCTGGGTGGTCGTGCTCGAGCGCCAGGGCGAGTGCGCGCAGGGCGAGTCGGGAGGATTGGCCGGCGGTGGGGGATGGGTCGAACGGCGAGCGGACGACGGACTGGTTGTCGATGAAAAGCGTGGCGGAGGGCGCTGGCGTAGTGCTGAGGGACTGCTGGATGCCGTCCAGCGCGAGACGCGCGCCTTCGAGTTCCGCCGAGTAGACCGACTGGAGCTGACCCATGGCCCTCGCCTTCTTCCCCCACAGCTCGTCCTCTCCCCCACCGAACCGCACAACCGCCGATGCGCCAGCTCGAGTCTCGAGCAGCGAGCCGTCCGAGTACGCCGCCAGGCTGCCCACCGCGTCGAGGTCGCGGACTTCTCGACCGTGCGACTTGACCAACGCCTCCTTTGACACGTCGACAACCAGCCGGCAACGTGGCGGGCTCGACCAAGGCGCGAGAGGTGAGTAGGAGATTGATTCGACTCGGGTGCGGGGCTGGAGGAGTGCTGGGAAGGAGTGGAGCGCGAGGTGGATCGGGGACGGGTGTTTGGCGGGCAGCGCGGGGCGAGCGAGGCAAAAACGGCCGTGGAGCGCGGAATCTGACGGACTCGAGGCGAGGCGTAGGGCGAGGCAAAAGACTTGGTGGGTCAGGCGGAGGTCTAGCGGGAGGAGGTTCGCCTCGACTTCGAGAGCGGCGAGGGAGGTAGTCCGATATCCGCCCGTGACGACGCGTGCAGCGGCCTTCTGCGCCTGCTGCAGAACCTTACTGACCGTCGCTCCCGGTTTGTACCACGCCGCAGCGCACCACGTCAGGCGCGGCAGCACCACCGCCTCGACCAGCCGTCGCACAAACTTCGCCTTCAATCCGCCTCAACTCTTCGCCAGCAGCCCGACACCTACGAGCGCCTTTGACGCCTTCGACGCGCACGATGCCATGTGCTCCTTGAAGGTGAGTCGCTCGTCGATCGTGACGCCCAGCATCCCGAGCGCTGACGAGTACTTGAGTTCCTCGCCGCAGAGCACGACCTTCGGGTCGTCGGGTGAGTGGTCTCGTGCAGGCGAGAAGCGCGTGACGAAGGTCTTGGAGGGCTCGAATAGGCTGTGGTGCGTTGTTGACCATTCCTCGAGGCCGGGGACGATCCGCTGGGCTGCGCTAACCGCTTCCTCGACGCTTCTTCCCCAGGCGAGGACATTCAAGTCGTCCACCCAGCCGAACGCCGTCGATGTTGAGGTCTTGCACGCCGCGAGTGCGGCGGCGTTGTAGAGGAGGAACAGGATCGGGCTGAGCGGTGAACCTTGCGGTAAGCCGCTCCTCCAGTCGGCGGGTTCGCTGCTGCCGCCTTCCAAACGCAGTGTGCACGTCCGGTTCGACATGAAGGACTTGGTCCACCGGCGGAGCGAGCGCGGTAAGCCCTTCTCCTCCATCTCCCGCACGAGCACTTCAGTCCGAACCGACGGGAATGCCTTGGCGACGTCGAGTGCGATGCCGAGTACAACATTTCCGTTCCGCCACTGACGCCTGATCTCGTCCACGAAACAGACTACCGCGTCTTCGGCAGATCTACCTGGTCGGGTGCCGAAGTGGTTGGGCGGGAGGAGCTGGAGCGCGTCTGCGAGGTGCGTGATTTGCCTCGCTACGATCGACTCGAGAAGCTTGCTGATGCAGCGCTCGAAGCAGATGAGCCGGTACGACTTGGTGAGCGAATAGTCGTCCTTCTTCGGCTTTTTCAAGACAATGCCGGTCGCGTCGCGCCAGCTCGTCGGCAGGTGACCAAGGCGGAGCGAGGCAGCGAGGAGCGGGACGAGGCGGGCCTTGAGCGCGGGCCAGGCGGCTTGCAGGACGGCGTTGGGGACTCCGTCGGGGCCAGGAGCGGCGAAAGGGCGTGCGAGGCGGAGAGCTGACCCGACTTTGTGTTCCTGCAGGTCCGGCCATTTGCACTCGGCCACGCCGGCGTCGTCGGCATCGTCGAGGTCGCCTCGGCTGGCGAGACTGGCGGGAGATCCTGCGAAGGTGCGTTCGTGCTCACTTGCGTGGCGGTCGTCTGCTGGACTCGTAGCGGAAGGCACAATAAACTTGTGACCTACTTGCAGTCCGCTGCGTGTAGAGGACGTTGTAATGGTTGTAATAGGCGCGTTGCATCCGTTCCCGTCGAGCGAGGGCGAAGTTGCGAGCGAGCCGCCGCCGGACTGAGCGAGATTCGCGCGAGCCGGCTCGACCTTCTCCTTCTTCTCCTCACGCCTCTCCCGCTTCTTCTGCTCCTGAGCACCGGCTGCTCCCTTCTGCATGCTTTTCGACCCGCACGGCGCCGCCCTGGCGCCTCCCGCGGTCCTCTCCGCCGGCTTGCCCGCCTCCCCTTCGTGCGTCATCTCTTTCTTCCCTCTCGCCCTCTCGCACCTCACGCAGGTCACTGGGTCGATCCAGAGGCGTCCCTCGTCACTGAGCAGATGGCTGACGACCTCGTTGTACCACAGGACGACGATGGCGGACCCGCATTCCGCGCCCTCCCTCCTCGACGGCAGCCGCCGGACCGAGCGCACGACACCAACTTCGGTCACCCTTCCTTCTACCGCTTCCACAAGCCGATCCTCGGCTTCCTCCGTCATCGGCAGGCCGTGTACGACAACCGCGAACAGTGCGAGCGGCGTAGCGGGCGAGAAGCCGGCTTCGAGAGCAGCAAGGCGGAGGCTGTGCCGCCGTGCCTTTCGCTGGCGAACGCGTCGGAGGTCGATGGGGCGGAGGCGTCGATCCATGGCGTTGCGTCGTTGCAGTGTAGGTCGTTGGAGGGCGCTCGTAGTGAGGGCGAGTGCGGTGCGTCCCCAAACTCTGCGGAAGTAGAGAGAGAGAGAGATTCCTGTTTCAAGTCAAATCGGGGCTAAGCCCATGGTGACCAGCAGAGACTGACTGCCACAGCACATAACGAGTCAGAAGGGGTATCTACTGATGTGAAGAGGCTATAGTAGTGGTACAGTGGGAGGGTGAGTGGAAGTAGAGCGGAAAAGTAGAAGCGAGAGCAAAGAAGTGCGATAAAACGACGGGGAGTGAGAGTGGAAGAGCGCAATGTGGCAGGCTGGTTAAGGAGTGTGTATAGGGCTTGGGGAACGAAGAACAAAACCGAGTGCTCAAGAAACCATCGAGAAAATGCCATTTTTGATCTTGACCTTCTTGGACCGCGACGACGGCGACGACGACGACGAGGATGGGAGGTGGGCGGGTCGTGTGGTGAAGTGTGGCGTAGGGTACTCGCCGAGCTTTAAACGAGGGGGAAAGAGGACGTATTGGGCAAGTGAGAGTCAAAAAGGGGATTGTGGAGGAGCAAGTTGGTGTGATTGGGGTCCTCGGGCAGCCCTCCTACGCCCCGCTGTCACCGGATCCCTCCCTCGTGTCCTTTTCCCGCTCCTCGTCCTTCGCTGGCTCCGTCAGATGGGCGAATCGACCAGTGGAGGTGATGAAGTCGAGGAGGGGGAGGCGGTAGTCAGGGTCGCCCTCGAGCGGAAGTAGAGGATTCCTCGCTAACGCAGGTTTCAACTCCGTATGACTTCGCAGGTGCGTGTAGCGCCGGGGCTGCATACTCGCTAGGTGGGGGACTTACTTGCTGACCCTTTGCCCCCGCAGGATCCGCAATCTCGTCGACTTGGGCGCCAAAGTCGTCGTCGACGGATCGCTCGATGGAGAAGTTGGCGAGTTCGGGCGGGAGAACGGGCTCAAACGGGTTTGAGGGCGTAGAGGACGTTGTAGTGATCGTAATAGGCGTGTTGCATCTGTTCCCGACGAGTGAGGGCGAAGTTGTGAGCGAGCTGCCGCCCGACGTAGCGAGATTCGTGCGACCCGGCTCGTCCTTCTCCTCCTTCCCATCGCGCTTCTCCCGCTTCCTCGGGTCGAGTCCACCTGCTGGACCCTTCTCCATGCTCTTCACACCCGCCAGCGCCGCCCTGGCGCCTCCCGCGACCCCGTCCGCCGGCTTGCCCGCCTCCTCCCCGTGCGTCATCTCTTTCTTTCCCCTCGCCCTCTCGCACCCCGCGCAGACCGTGGGGGCGAGCCAGAGACGTCCCTCGTCGACCATGAAGTTGCTGACGTGCTTGTTGTTCCACAGGACGACAACCCACGACCCGAACAACGCGCCCGTCTTCCTTGGCGGCAACGCTCGGACGCTCCTCACCGCTCCAACTTCGCCAATCCTCTTCTCCACCGCCTCAATCACCTCCTCCTCCGACTCAACCCCTCTCGGTACTCCGTGCACGACCAAGCTGAAAAGGGCGAGCGGCGTTGCAGGGGAGAGGCCGGCGGCAGCGGCCGTTGAGCGAAGGAAGGAGGCGGCGGCGGCTGTTGGGAGATGTAAGAGTACGTCTCCCTTTCTCGTTTGGCGAGTTGGGATCGAGATGGGCACCCCAAGCGTCTGACGGACGCGCGTGGCGGTGAGGTCGGGCTGGGCGTAGAGGTGTACGAGGTAGCTGGCGGGTTTCGTCGTCTCGGCGGCGGGGGTCTTGGGTGCGGCTGGGACGGGTGAGGGGCGCGGCCAGTGCACGTGAGGGGCTGGGGCTGCCGCGACTTCCGCGAACGAGCGGTCGCCGGCGTCGTCGCCGTCCACGAGCGGCAGAGGAGGAGTGGTGGGCGGAGTCGGCGGCGTCGCGGCGGCGGCGGCCAGCGATGTTTTGAGGGTGTCGATGTCGGTTTGGAGGGGTCGAATGGCGCTCTGGATGCGCTCATCGACCTGCTTGAGGGTCAAGACGGGCTCGAGGGCCGGGGTGGTCGCGTCGTCACGCGTCGGTTTCGAGGTGGTCGTGCTGGAGATTGAGGCGGTTTTGGCGGGTGTGGGTGCGACAGGACGCGTAGTAGCTGCGGGTCGAGGAGTGGTAGGAGCGGCGGACGCTAACGACTCGTATTCGTCGCGCAGGACCTTCGCCGCCTTCAGCAAGGTGGGGCAGCCAAATCCTTTGCCCTCAAGCTCGCTCAAAGCGGCTTGGAGGGCTTGGATTTGAACTCTAACCCGCCTGAGAGCGGCTTGAGTCGTGCCAGCAAGCGGCATGATTACCTCTGCGAGTGTGGCGAGGTGGAGAGTCGGGAACACTTCCTGATTCTCTGCCCGCTGTACGAGAAGGCTCGACACTCCTTCTACAAGCACATCCGGCTTCGCCAGACCCCTACCATCGCCCGGCGCCCTCCTCCTGCTCTCCTTCATGCCGCTTGCCGTTGAGCACCGAAGTCGAAGTGCCCGGGCTGAGGGGTGAGCCTTGCGGCAGGCCGCTTCTCCACTCAACCGGATCGCTGCTGACGCCTTCCAATTGCAGTGTGCACAACCAGCTGGTCATGAAGGACTCGACTCAGCGGAGGAGTGAGCGTGGTAAGCCCTTCTCCTCCATGTCCCGCACGAGGACGTCCGTCCGAACTGACGGGTATGCCTTCGCAACGTCGAGGGCAATTCCAAGCACAACGTTTCCGTTCCGCCACTGACGTTTGATCTCGTCCACGAAACAGACTACTGCGTCCTCAGCGAATCGGCCGGGTCGGGCGCCGAAGTGGGTCGGCGGGACGAGCTTGAGCGAGTCCGCGAGGTGTGTGATTCGCCTTGCCACAATCGACTCGAGGAGCTTGCTGACGCATCGCTCGAAGCAGATCAACCGGTACGACTTGGTGAGCGAGTAGTCCTCCTTCTTCGGTTTCTTCAAGACGATGCCGGTCGCGTCGCCCAAATTGTCAGGAGATGACCAAGGCGGAGCGAGGCGGCAAGAAGCGGGACGAGGCGGGCTTTGAGGGCTGGCCAGGCGGACTGGATGACAAAGTTGGGGACTCTGTCGGGGCCGGCGGCGGCAAACGGGCGTGCGAGGCGGAGAGCTGACTCGACTTTGTGGTCCTGCAGATCTGGCCATTTGCATATAGCAACGCCGGCATCGTCGGAATCGTCCAGGTTGGCTCGGCTGGCAAGACTGGCGGGAGATCCTGCGGAGGTGAGTTTGTGCTCACTCGCGTGGCAGTCGTCTGCTGGACTTGTAGCGGGAGGCACAATAAACTCGCGACCTACTTGCAGCCCGCTGACAGTCCTCCCATTCCCCTTGTCCGCAGATTGCGCCTCGACAAAGCGCAGTTTGACAACCAGCAGCAGGACGGGCTGAAGGAGGGCGAGCTTGTCGATGGGCGACGTTGCGTACGTCCCATCGTCCTTCTTGAGTGGCAGCGTCGACGAGGCTGCTGACCCCCCTTCTCCCAGTCGCGACTTCACCACCTTCCACAGCGACGCTTCATCCACCTCCTCAACCTCTGCCCTTTCCGCCCTCCTTTTCTCCCTTCTGATCACTGCCTTCGCCCAATTTGTCGCCATTCTCGCCGCTCGCGCTGCCACTTCCGCCTCATCTCCCTCGCCACCTCTCGACTTCACTCAATACGCTCAAGTTCGCGCTCGCCTTGCTTTGCCGACAACATCGGCGACCTCCGAGCTCCACCATCGGTGCGCGAACCGCGAGCGCGACGGCTTGGCAAGCGGGACGGCGGTCAACACGGTCTCGCAGAGCAGCGAGTCGAGTGCCTCCGCTTCGGCGTCGATGTTGGCAGGTGTGAGAAGGGTCGCAGGCAACGCGGCCGACGCAACAAGTTTAGCATAGGAGTGGAGGATGGCTGCTGGGTCGGCCTTGCGGAAGAGGCGGCGAGGATACGCTGGCGGGCGTTCCGCTCGCTCGACAGCAAGGACGGTGCGTATCGGGCGGTGGTCGGACCCGTACTCGAGCGCCTCATTGGGGCCTGAGCTGACCAGAGAAATGAGGTCAAGGCAATGATGAGGGCAAAAAAGGAAGAGTGGGAGGAAGTTGAGATGGCGAGCGTGACGGAGGCGACGCTGTGGGCGACAGTGAAGAAGCGGGTTGGCAACTCGAGCGCCGCTAACACCTTGACCCCGCCGCTCCGAAAGGAAGACGGGACTTACGCGACGTCCGCCCTCGACAAACTTGCCCTTCTCCGCCCGCTCCTCCTCCCAACCGTCTTGTCCCACTCTCCCAGCGCACCCACGGCACCCCCTCAACCAGCCGCTCACCCGCCAACTCCACCCCCACCCGCCCCTAACCCGAATTGAAGCCCGCTTTTGCGAGGACACCTCCAATTCCGCAAAATTTCACAAGGATGTACCGGATGAACCGCTGACAATGTCGCTGGCGTGGCCAACACTGCACAAGTGTGAAGTCAAGTCAGCGATCATGCAGGCAAGACCCTTCGCGGCTTGCGGACCGGACAACGTACCCAACCATGTCCTCCAACTTCTCCTCCCGCACCTCGCACCACTCTACCGCGCCTCGCTCACCCTTGGCCACCCCTCGCTCCTGGCGCAACGCGTCATGCTGAGTCATGCGTCGTCCTCCACAAGCCAAAGAAGCCGAACTACCGCAACCTGAGGGCGTACCTACTCATTGCCTTTGAGCAATGCATAGCCAAAAGTCTCGAGCGCGTCGTCGCTGCTGCCGCCTCGCGCACCTCGCCCAGTCCAATTGTACGCATTGCTGCCAAATTTGCACTTTGGTGAGAGGAAAAGGAGGTTGATCCTCGCCGCACCTCCCTCGCATCCACTCCACGGACGCACCAAAGCAGCACACAGCCGCCCTGCCCATGCCTCCTACCGCTTGCCCCTCAACCTCGCCCTCGCCGATCTGCTCCTCCCGCCCAACCTTGTCGGCAAAACCATACATCCCGACCCAATCCTGCCTTAGTCTCCCAATCTCGCGCCACCAATCGAAGTCGCACAAGGAAGAGATAGTCTCGGAGTCTCCAACTCACCGATTCACCAGTCCGCCCCTTGCCAGCTTGCCAACCCCGGGAAAGGTTCTCCCTGAGCATGCAAGAAATGTTGCCAGTCAGTATGTGCAAATCCAAGGAAGTTTGCCAGGGCAAGGAAGACTATGGTGTGAGTCAGCAGGTCCCTGTGCCTGCAGTCATAGTGAAACGTGGGCTTGGAGGATCCGCTGACACAAAGAGCATTGGAGAATCAAATCACACCTTCAACTCATACCTACTTTCTGCTGGCTTTTCTCTCACCTGAATTAATTTGCAGTGTTGCGGGATGGTACTGAGGAAGCGGAGACCAACTCAATGCAAAATCATCTGCTTGCCCTTCCTGAGGCTACTAGACCCGCATCCTTGCCGTCCCTTGAGCCGGATACGCAAGTCACAGCAGAAAGGCCAGTCTAGAAAGGCAGAAGAGGGACAATTGAGGGGGCCCATATAAATTACAGTTTGAATCGCTGGGTCATAGGCGAGATAGTATAGTGGTTAGTACAGTCGGTTCTGACGCATTCGTTTCCGACTAACCTGGGTTCGATCCCCAGTCACGCCTAACTTTTTGCTCCAGGCGCTTCTGACATGCCTCACTAGCTCGCAGATCAAGTCAAAAATCGGAATGTGGCTTTTCGGCTCCTGAGCGGGTGGAGGGCAAGGAGCAGACCAATTCCTGAGCAGTGGCGCTCCTTGCTGGCAGCCGGTCGACCCCGGTCTACTGTAGGGTTGTGAACGCATTTTGTGACCCACCTCGACAAGCTCGGTTGATCTAGTTGGTTATGATGCGGACCTAATACTTCTGTGTTTAGTCCGATGTCGGCGGTTCGATCCCGCCACTGAGCAGGTTCTTCTTTTGCTACCACCAGCTAAAATAGGCGGAGCAGCTTGTTTTTGTCTCCCACGGAAGGGTCAGCGGCAGAAGAGCGCTAACAGCTTGTCCTAGCACTGACAGGGAGAGACTCCGTCCTTGTCTAGTTCATGTCGCTAGCGCTCTGAGCCCCTTACGTTGAGAACGCAAAAGAGTGGTTGCAGCAAGCATAGTTGCTGGACTATGGCTGCAAAAGGAGAATCTCTTCGACCGGGAATTGAACCCGGGTCTCAGCCGTGACAAGGCTGGATACTAACCACTATACTATCGAAGATGCGCTGTGACGGCCTGTCCGGATTGAGGTACATATCCCGAAGGGCTTGCTCGCATAACAAGCCTTTGCGTCAAGCCTCTTTGAGCAGAGGCAGCATACTTGAGTTCCTGCACCCAGCTGAGGCTAATCCCTCTCAGGTAGCGAGTGGACTAGGTG